ATATATATATATATATATATATATATATATGAAACGTTTCTACATTTTTTTATTGCTTTGTTTTGTTTTTTTGAATGTCCATAGGACCAGATTTAACTTTTTTAGATTTTTCTACCTGGATTATTGAGCATGCATAAGGATATTTTGTCCGTGTTTGTTAACAGTGTCATCCAGTCATGGTCTGCAGATGTTTGTTCCTCAGGCATTGTCTCTGTAGCCCTAGAAGATGCTGCAGGAACATTATGGATTACATTTAGTTTGTTTTGATTTATGAAGATCCAAGATTGTCCTCTGAAGAGAAGGAAAAAGCTTTTTGGATAAAATCTTGAAAATATCAGGTGATGTTCTCAAGTATTTCTCAGTCAGTGCCTGGTCGACTCATATCAAATCTTCGTTATTTATCTTTAAATTTATTTAGGTTATGTTTGTGTTGGATAAGATCAATTAGCTGGGGCAGCCATATTGAATTGGGTGGGCTCCAAATGTTAAATATAAGTCCAATGATCAGAGAGTCAGAGAGATTTATTTGTCATACACACCACATGTGGTGGAACAAAATTGTGTACACAGGGTCCCAGTTACATCCAACAATAAAATGGAAAAGAAAAACAGTAATAACATCTAAGATATGAACTAAGAAAAACATCAACTAAAGACACACTAATAGCACTAATGCATTTCTTCATTAAAGTCATGCAGCCTAGTTGTTCATGAGATATTTTGCTAACAAACCTGACTCCAGCAGTTAGTTTTAATTAAAAACCTTGTGCAACGTTTAGCACTTCATTTAAGTATTGAGGATGACTCTCAGCTGCTGCCATGCTAAAGTTTAGCTCTATAAAATTGACTGAGCTATGGCCATTTGGTTGATTAGTTGTGGCAGCCATCTTGAAGTGGATTGACTCTTAAGTCATATTCGGTTGTAGATGTGCATGATTACTTTCTAAGCGTTTCATTAAAATTAGTTCAGTGGTTCATAAAATATCTTGATAATAGACAAACAAAAGTGTTTAAAAAAAACAACAAAAAAAACAAACACAAGGGTATCTTGATTTGCAGACTGCAAAATTTATTCCGTAGTAAAGGAACATCTAAGGATCACTTTCTGTGATTCTCATTAAAATCCATTCACCGACTCAGAAATGTAACTTATTTATGCTCTTTTGTTGAGTAAAATTAAAGAATTGTATAACACCAGGGCTGGACCTGGACATTTGGGGGCCCTAAGCAGGATATGTTTCGGGGGCCCTACTTTGCCACAGGTAGACAGTTAAAGATAAGCAAACCCCATTCCTTATCCCATGGAGGATCTTAGTTTTGATCCGTTTTAGCTTTGAAAGTCTTCTCTCAGCTGATGTCACGCTCACGTGGCAATATCTAAAGGTTCAGATAAAGTCCAGTTTTCTGTGTTTTTAGTCGACGAAGGTGAGAAGCTCAAAACATATTGTGATATCTGTGTCCTAAAAGGTTAATGTTCGGGGTTATGAAGGGGGGTAGAGCTAGGTGTCCAAGATGTGTGTGCATGGGACAGAGTGAGGACACCACACATGGTCTTTCTGTGTTCAGCGTGAGTTGCAGCTCTGACAGCAGCTCCTGTTCACTGTTTTTTGGTGGTTTTGTTAATAAAGGCTGTGAAGTCACAGTCTGTTGTAGCTTTCCTTTTTGTTGCATGCTGAGAGGCATTACAACATTTACACGTGGCTGTGCTCTATGGCTTTTGTCGAAGGCAGTAGCGCAACAGCGAGTTTATGGTTTGTCCATCTCAGGCCCTCGTTGGCCGCGGGGCCCAGCTGCTTAATTCTTACAGGCAGGTCCGGCTCTGCATATCTGGAACAGTGTTTCCCAGCACTGGTCCTCCACCTCGAGGATCTGCATGTTTTGTTTCCCTGCACACCTGATTTGAATGAATGGATGATTAACAGGCTTCTGCAGAATGTGACGATGTAATTAAACCCTGAATCAAGAGTGCTGGAGCAGGGAAACAACTAAAATGTGCAGAATGGTGTTCCTCGAGGACCAGGGTTGGGAACCACTGATCTGGAAAATTTTTTGGAGCAAACTCTTTCAAACAGCACCATTTGATATAGTTCAGTATAAACATTTTCTATTTGATTTCACATTTTTATAATAAGAATCGTTAAAGGGTTTTCAATGATGTTTCATTTTGAAATTACACAAAACGTAAACATCCATAACTCTTTGTGGTTACCATGACAATACTATTAAATCCACTCATAAATAAATTATTCCCAGATTATAATTATATTTATTTTATAAACAAACAACAAAACAAGCAACAACAAAAAAAACCACTTTGAAGACACTATATTTGACTTGGACCATTTCATACGTTTAACTCTAATTCCACTTTACTAGCAGGAGGAAACTTGATTATTCAGAGTGCACAGCGAGCAAATGCAATAAAGCTTTTTACGTTACTACGATAACAGCACGGTTGAGGCCGAGCAGACATGAGGTCTGATTGGTTTTTCCCGAGGCAATAAATGAAGCAATTCAATTTCAGAGTGAAAGAGGAGAAAACGGAGAAGGAGGCGATGTCCTTCGTGGACTGGAAACATCTGGTCACATCTGCAGCCAGCTCAGGTCATCAGATCTGCACCAGATCAGGTGAGTTAGAAACAGCACAGAGAAAAACAAGGTTATGATCAGATTCCTTTAATTAACTTGTAGATTAAAACATTCCTTAGATGAATGTGTATCACCCGCCTGTATTCATGCCAGAATTTTAGACTAAGATCATCCGATTTTGTAAAACAGTGAAGTTCTAGTGATTTTAGTCAAACATTGAAAGTAATATTGTACATATCCTTCAGTATAACAATAACTTGTGTGATATGTAAAGATGATGGCTGGATGGATATGTTGCCATGTGAAAGACGCTCAGCTACTACCACAACAAACCTCAGATAAATGTCTGTGAAATTCCCTGAGGTAAACCCACTTTGGTATAGCCTAATATTGTTTAGCTGTTTCCACCATCTTGAATTGGGTTGACTCCCAGAATAAATCAGTTGTAGCTGTAGAGCCAGTGGTGGGCACGGTTCCTAATAGCGGAGCTAACTTGCTCTTTGACAGATTAGCATTTTCTCTAACTTTGAAAACCTTCAGCAGAATTAGCTTCTGCAAATTTGGTAAATTCAAGTCTGCTAACACTTTTTTTTTTTAAAGAGAGCTCTGCACTCAAAACATAAATGAGAATTATGATTTTACATGGATCAATGCTACGCTATGCAGAGCTAAGCAAACCAATACCCAGTGACATCAGAACCCTTGCAGAGCTCCCCCCCCCCCCACACCCCATATTTACCACAGTCTCTGACGCGTGGTGTCAGTTTACAACCAATAACAACAACTTTAACATAAATGACAAACAAAACCAGAACAGGAAAATAACGTGAAAAACCCATTTTCACACTCAGAAACATCAGAAACATCAGAAACACTGCACATAATTCCTACCCAGCATGCTTTGCAACACTCACACTGTCTCTGGGATGTGACTCTCTCACACTTTTCTTCACACACTTACTTTAATACAGACTGCTTACCGAGAGAATATTGATGACGCACAGCAACTTTGTAATTAGTTTATAAAAGTAGTTAATCACAAAGAGGATCACCAGAGTGAGTTAATTCATTATAGTAAATGACACGAGGGGGATGTCTGATGCACATTCAATGTACCACTGTCAGCACAGCAATTATCTGTTTAGCGTTAGAGAAGCTAATTTTTTAGTTAGCAAATTAGTGGTTAGTGAAGCTAACTTTTTGGTTAGCTGTGCCCACCACTGTGTAGAGCCAATGATTATTCTCAGAGAGTTTCATTGACATCTGCCTGGTAATTTATGAGATATTTTGTTAACATATAAACAGGGTTGTTTCAGATAACACAAAGGCTTTAAGTGAAAACGATTCCCAAAGTATGTGCTGGAGACGATGCTCAGCTACTACACCAGATTTGACCTCAGTATGTGTAAAACTGGATGAGCAAAGAGACTTTTCTGTGTTTTCTAAGCTCAGTTGGCCGAGGCATGATGGGATTTCTGTTTATTATTTGAATTGTCTATTCTTTTTTTGCTTGTTATAATGTAGCCAAATTAAAATATATCCTCGCCTCATGAGTTTACTTTGTATATCTACAGTGTACACATTTGCATGTAGTTTGTGGACGTGCACATTGCCACTCACAGAGCTTGTTCCTTTGTTATGGTTTGGCCCTGAGCCATCAGCTCAGCGATCTGAGCCACAGCAGGATCGAAGGCCAGGCTGGCAGCAGCCACCACCTCACCATCTCTGCTCATGACAGAAACAGAAGAAAGTTAACACGTGAAGCTTGAATGTCTTCTCACACGCATCATATATCTGCTCACTTTATATAAAATGCCAGGAACGTCCGTTCTTCCACTTTGCCTTTGAAAATGATTTCTGTGTATCCCTCCCCGTAGCCTGTGGAGGGAAATTAAACAGATCAGCTACAGGTTTTATCAGTAAAATATAAACCATTTTGAACCCTTTAAACAAACTGAATGTCATTCTTTTATAAATGATTGTGTGAAGAAAAAATCAAATAAAAGATTTTTGAGACTAACGCACACACAAAATGTTAATGGACACATTTATTCAAGTGAAATAAACGTAAATATTGGTCTGACCTGCATATCTGATGCTCTTCCCAGCAAAGGCAGACCAGAAGAAAGGTACAGACTTCACTGCTGTTGGTTTCTTCAGCATATTTAGAGCTGCTACTCTTCCTGGTTGATAAAAACAATAAAGACGAGCGAGGCGTTATCACAACGTGTCACTCTCAGAGTGCGTGCTGTGAATGACTCTCAGTTACTACCAAAGCATGTTTTAGCACAATATCTGTAAAAATCACTGAATTACAGCTATTTTTCTGTCTTCCAAGGTCAGTTGGCTGTGGTGGCCATCTTGAATTGTATTGCCTTTAAAATGCAAACAGTTATTAAGGTACTTCTCCAGAAAGTTTCATTGTAATCAGTTTCAGCCACATCCAAACTGTAAAACTGACTGAGTTATATATTTTTTATTATTCAGGTCTCCTTGCAATCATGGCCATCTTGAATTGAGTTGATTTCAAAAGATAAATCAAATGTTAACTAGAAAAATTGCATTTCTACGTAAATGCAGTGTGAATGCTTATTGCAGAAGAACTGGCTGAAAAACAGCTGAAATTAGCAACAACAACAAAAAAAAAACATGCTGAAAGGTAGCTGAAATGGAAGAACAAGCCTAAATTAGCAAAGAAAGCAGAAAGAACACATTTGCTAAAATTAGTTTTAAATATTCAGAAACCAGCAGAAAAATTAGGAAAGTAGAAAAAGCTGAAATTAGAAAAAAAATGTCTGAAAAGTAGCTGAAAGGCAGAAAAACTACCAGAAGGAAGCAGAAAGAGGTAAAAAAAAAGCTGAAAAGGTTAAACTTGGCATAAAAACAGCTAAATAGTAGATGAAATAGCTGAAAATTAAGCTGAGAGGAGCATAACTAATTTAAATTAGCAGAAAGAAGTTAATTAGTCTGAAAGTAGTAGAAATTGCCATGAAAAACGTGAAGTTATCTGAAAACAGCCAAAAATAGCTGAAAATGCTGAAAAGGTAGAACAAGCTTGAATTAGCAGAAGAAAGCAGAAAGAACATGTTTGTCCAGTTTGGCTAAAAGAAGCAGAAATGAGTACAGAAAGTGGAAATTATAAGAAAAAAAGCTGAAATTAAAAAAAAAAAAAAAAAAAAAAAAAACAGATGAAAAGTAGCTAAAAAAGCAGAAAGAAGCTTAAATTACCAGAAGGAAGTGGAGAGAGCACATTTTTGCTGCATTAGGCTGAAAAAAGTTGAAATGGGAGCAAAAAGCTGGAAATTAGCCAAAAAAGCTAAAATTAGCATATAAACAACTAAATAGTAGCTGAAATAGGAGAAAAAGCTTAAACTTGCCTAAATAAACTGAAAGGAACATAATAAGCTGAAATTAGCTTAAAGAGGTTAGAAGCACAAAAATATCATAGTTAACAGAAATAAGCTGAAAGAAGCACAAAACAGTTGAAAAAACGAGAAATAAAAGAAAGTAGCTGAAAAAAAATAATTTGCACAAGGAAGCTGAACCAGAACAAAATGTGAAAGAAGCAGTAAAAGGCTGTGAACAGATCTAAAGATTTGAAGGATGTAAAATGAGCTCAGTTCATTTTCAATGAGAAGAAAATGGCAGAAAAGGCTAAATATTTCAAAAAGCTAAAGTTGCACCAATACCAAAAGTCATTACACCCTTCTCTTGAATGAGCTGAACCTTTTGATACATGCTTTGTTGAAATAACACAAAAATTGCAGCACAAGAAAGATGCTGAAAATCATACAGAAGAAAAGTGGATCACAATAGATGCTTCATACACATTCACCAATGACATCCCAACAACCACTCTCTGAGAGCTTCAGTAAAGTTTGTGGTCTCACACCGTGAGCATGGGACATTTGCCAGTGACCGATGTTGACACGCTGGTCGCCACGGATGCTCAGAGGGAAGGAAGTAACATCTCCAGCACCGAAAATATCTGCTGCATTAGTCCTCATGAACTGTGAGAAGAGAAACATCAGATCATCACGACCTGCAGCGCACTGATCCATAACGCCTTGTCACAGCAGACAAGGTCACCTCGTGCACAAAGACTGCACAACCATCATGTCAGATCACAATCACCAACAAACAAGCGGCTTCATCCATTGAAAGCTGCAACGTCATATCCGTGCTTTATTTTTATTTTAAGTTGTTTCTTCTTGGCTTTAGTCAGTTTTATGTGTTACCTTGTCAACAATCACAGCTTTTCGAGAATCCACAGCAACCTCACTTCCTGCTAAAAAGTCAGAATTTGGGATAACACCTGAAAGAAAATCTTGGTGTTACATTTATTTGGTTTTATTAACGATTATTTAAATAAAAAACAGTTTTAACACAATAATACATATTTATTAGCAGAAAAACACATTACTTGTTATTAAAATACTGGTAGCCTTTTGGTAATGACTATACATACAGAAAAAATGTATAGGCCTTTACAAAAGTATTTCTTCTTTTTGATAATAATATGACTGCTATAAGATGTAAAAAAATTTATCTTATCTTTAAGAAATATATTCTCTCAAGAAAAAAGTTATTTTCATTTTAATCACTTTATTAAATTTAATCTGAAATTTAAAAGTCCACAGTTTTTACATTAAAAAAAAATAAATAAAATGTCAGAGTTACTAGAGATGGAGAAACAAATTCATCTGTTTTTGTAGATGCTGCTTCATAAAATCCTTTTTTGTTTCTTGTCTGCGTGTTTAGTTCTGTTTAGACATTAAAAGATATGTGTTAAAAAGCCAAGATTAAATGATATGTCTAAACTGCTGCCAGTGGCTTATTATGGTCACCATGGTAACCAGATGAATGTGTCATGGCATGTAAATGGCAGACAGACAGACATAACACACTTTTCCCAATTAAGCTGCACATTTTGGGGCATAATTTATATGTTTTAATTCAAAGCTGCACGAGGAGATCCAGAACAAAATGCTTGTGCTTCGGCACCCTTAAGTAAATGTTCTTGCATTTGGTTTAAATTTAGGAAATACACAAACAGTCCTTTCATGTTTTATTTCTCCCTATACAGTAATAATTGTAATTTTCTTTAATCGGTCACAATCTGATTTGTTTTGTTACAGTTCACATAAAGGAGCTTTATATTCCAATATTATGCAACAGAACACTAAAATTACCAATTCCAGCAACCACCACGTCAGCCTCCAGCACGGCTCCACTGTCCAGCACCACCTGCTTCACCTAAAATTAGACAAAATGTAAAAAGTTGTCGTCAAACATGTTGTAGATTTCAGTGATTCTTTGTCTGACTGAGACTCTGGAATAATTTGTAAAACATAAACGAGTAAGGATGCCCCGCTCACACAAACAGCATAAAATCTGTTACCTTTCCGTTCTCTCCTCTGAGCTCAGTCACTCGGTCTTTCATGTAGAACTTCACTTTTTTTTCCTCCAACATCTAAAAAGGAAAAAAAAAAAAAATGTTTTTATCATTTCATACAAAAACTCTAAAATATAAATTTAGCACAAAATATAAGAAACATTGTTTTGGTTGCTTATTTCTAGGTTGTAACTATGCTTCTTGGCATTGATTCACCTTTAATGGTGCCACATTTGTCAGGAAACACTTTTGTTGGTTGAGCAGCAGAGTGGAAATTGTGGAAAACTTTCTAAATCTTTTTTTTTTTTTTTTTTTTTTTGCTAATGTCAAAGTGTCAAAGTCTGAAGAAGCAAAACATATTGGCAATTTAACATATTAATTTAACTAACAGAGGGCCTCTGTGGCATGCGGAAGAACCATACACAGCCACAACAGCCTGACACCACCTCATATTGTTTACCAGCTTGGTCAGATACTTTTGTGGGATGGCGTCCCATTCAACCAGCGTTTGTCTCAAGTCAGCCATTGTGGTTTTGTTGATCCCTCTGAGTCGATCCCACAGGTGTTCACTGGGGTTGAAACCAGGACTGCAGGCAGGTCGTTCTACCATCCCCACTGATAAATTCTGAAGGTAATCTAAGATAAACCCACTCTGTGGGGGTAAGCATTCTCATCTTGGAGAATAGAGGTCACAATATTTGGCAAATTCTTCATAGGCTCATCCGACAAATTTCCAAACAAATGTTGCACAATTTAATAGGAAATAAACAGGCTATCCAATCGAATAGGATATATTGCCAAAAAGCTTTGTTACAACAAAGAAATAATCAACTGAACACAATTATTTTTACTTTATGGGTTATATTTAGCATAAAATGTTCAGCTGCAGAATGTAAAATTAATGCCTTTTGTTAATAACACTCACTTCCATCGCCATCTTGCCAATTTCTGGCCCCAGAGACTTCTCAAATGGGTACGAGGTGGTGCCAACCAGAGCTACACTGGCAGCTTTATCAGACAGGTATGATGCCACCTCCATGCCTGTTTTATTTACACAGAAAAAAACACATCTCCTTTAATTGATTGAATAAATGCAACACATTTTGCACTAAGCAAAGCAAACACACATTAATGGTTAGAGAATGCGCTGCAACTGAGGGGCATCAAATGAACTTAATTCATATTTTTTGGAAGATGTTTTGTGTTAACCTATAAAGGATGCTCCAAGTACAACAGCCTTTTTGTTGAGGGAAGAGGCATGAATGTTTTTGGCATCTTCATAGCTCTGCAGCAAATGGACTCCTCCCAAGTCTGAACCAGGACAGCTTAATGGACGAGCTCTGCAACCAGAACTTAAACACTTTCAAGGAGCCCTTGAAACAAAAGCATTATATGTGTGTTCTTTGCTTTGGTTTGTTTACAAAAAGAAAAGACGGGATACTGAAGATTACCTGCAGCCGCTTGCGATGAGGAGCTGGTCGTAATGTTCCGAGGTGCCATCGTTCATCATTACCAACTTATCGGCTGGGTGCACAGACATCACCTGCAAACAGGCCACCAACAGATAAATGTAATGCTCCTGAAACAATAAGAACAAACTAAAGGCATCAATGCATATCACCCGCCAGAGTTGTAAACTGAGATCATCTTTGGTTGAAAAGAGAGAGTTGCCAAACCTTGAAAACAACATTAAACACAGTCTATTAGCTCTTCAAGTGTGTGTCGAGGATGACTCTCAGATACTACCTCACCAAATCTTTAGCACGTCTGCAAAACTGAACAAATCATAACAATTTTTGTGTTTGCTTTGTCAGTTATTTGTGGTTGCAATGTCTAATGAGGTTCACTTCATCACCATTAATAACAAAGCATCTCTGCCTTGTTCTGTTGCTCAGAACTGAAGTCACAATATCCAGTTTTTTGGGAGGTTCAGTTTGATTTTGGAGCCAGAGTCTGCACACTATGGGATTGGATCATCGATACGAAAGCTGCCTACACGCCCTCCCTACGTGCTAAACGTGTCCCACACTGTAAAATGACACATTTTTAAAGCCTCAAATAAATAAAAGTACATGTACTGAAAAAAAAATATTTGAACCAGCAAAAGTAAGAACTACATGACTAAACAAAAATCATCCATCCCTCAACAGATTGTTCCGGAGTCGGTTTGCACGAGCAGCCCAGACGTCTCTTGCCACAGCCTCTTCCAGCTCTTCTGGGAGGACTCCAAGGAGTTCCCAGGCCAGCTGAGAGACACAGTCCTTTCAGTGCGTCCTGGTTCTGCCCCGGGGTCTCCTCCAAGCTGGACAAACATGGAAAACCTCCCTTGGAAGGTGTCCAGGAACCGCCTCATCTGGCTTGATGTGGATGAGCAGCGGCTCTACTCTTCAGCGGGTCTTGAGATATTTTGCTAACACACATAGCCATGACTCCAAATAGTAAACAGCAAATAGTTGTGGGGAGCAGCCTGCACCACTTCGGACCTCTACACTTTACAATGCAGGGGGAGTGTGCTCCGCATCATGAAAGACTCCACTCATCCTGCACACAGTCTGTTCCAGCCCCTCCCCTCAAGCAGGCAGCTGAGGAGCATTCAGAGCAAGACCACCAGGCTCAGAAACAGTTTCTTCCCTGCAGATGTCAGACTGCTGAACTCGAGCTGCACGTAATTCAGCTTCATCTTACATATTTTTTACTTCATTTATTATATATATATTTGTTCTCTTTTGTATTTATTTATTTGTTAATTATTATGCTTCTTGATCTGGGACCTAAGTCCGAATTTCATACCATCAAAATTTCAAGCCAAGGTCTCGCGCAATCTGTTATTGCTCAGAATATGTATTGGGGATCAGTCTCAGCTACTACCAGACCAAATTTACCTCAGTATTTGTAGAATAAACCGAGATATCACCCAGTGGTTCATGATATATTCTGCTAACAGAGGGACAACTGAACACAGACACATGCAACTTTCAGAGTGGTGGGTGATATTCAATTCAATTCAATTCAAAAATACTTTATTAATCCCAAAGGGAAATTATTTTGTTGTTGTAACTCGTTATCCTCATTTCATTAAGAGATGTTATAGATGCTGATGGCTGTAGGCAGGAAGAATCTCTTGTAAAGGTCCATCCCACAGTGGATCCTAAGAAACTGGCTGCAGATGCCGTCCGATCCGTCCACGCAGACTTGGCTGGCCTCTTGATTCCTCTGGACTGTAAGACCGCTTGAATGCTGGGCAGAACTCCTCCCAGAGCGATGGTCACTCCTCCCAGCAGTCTGCCGAGCTCCTCGGCGCTGCGGACAGCCAACTGTAGGTGCCGAGGGACGATCCTGTCCTTCCACTGTCATGAGCCGTGTTTCCTGCTAGTTCCAGGATCTCAGTGGTCAGGCACTCAAGCACAGCTGGCAGGTAGATGAGAATGCGTCCACAGAACATCCTTTTCAACTCATTTGAGAGTTGGGGCCATAGTTGAGATATTATTTGAGCTTTTGAGATGTTAATCAGCTGCTGTTGTTGTAGAAAACTGCCTTGTTGCCATGGTTATGCATCATAACAAATGTCCAAAACCAACAAAGTTTCAGTAAAAATCTTTCCGGCTGCACAGCATCTGATACCAGAGGAAACATTCATCCAAAAAAAGTGATTTACATCCAGAAAACCAGGAATTGAAGTTTCCAAAAGCAAAATCTCAGAATGAAAGTAACAGAGCTGCTCCAACATGCAGCCACCTTGAGCGGCGCCATTCTAGAACATATTCACTAAGATATTAACAAAGCACCAAGTGCATGTGAACCGTTCGGTCTCTGACCTCCTTCCCCGTCCTTATTTCTATGCCATGCTGTTGGTAGAAGTCAGATGAGCGGAGGAGGATGCTGCCGCTTTCCACGTTCATCGCCTGAAAAAGATCATGCTTTTTACTAAAAAGACAAGTGAAGGAAAACGGATCTGCTTCTTTACAAGGCAAAAAGACTAATAAACAAACCTTTTTCTAAACACTTACTTTACTGAGTTTGGGTTTGTCAAACGGAGGCAGGCTGTCTTTGGTTATGACGACGATGCGACCCTGGTAGCCGTTTTGCCGAAGCGTCTCGGCACAAACCAGAGAGGCAGGGCCTGAAATGACAGAAGTCACAAAGTTTTCTATAATATCTGCCCTCCATTTTTATTACAAGTTTAAATTAATTGTTGATTAGTGAATCAAACGCAGCACCATAAGACTCAGTCGCTACAATACATCCAGATTTTCTTTTATCTTTATGGAACTCTCACCTCCTCCTATCAGCAGAATCATTTGTTTGGTGCCAGGCTGAACTGCGCACATCTCCTTCACCTGCCTGCTTAAATTCAGAGACTGGAAGGAACAAAATGTGTTTATTCTGTTCATCTTTAGAGCATAAAAAACAATTATCTTAAGAGTCTACAACTCATGTTGCTTACCTTTTTGTTTATGGTGACATAAACATTGCCTTTCTCAACCTTGACCTGGTAAAATAAATCGAATAAAGTAAAACTAGAGAAAATTTGAATTTTCTTCAAAAATTCAATGTGAACGCTGAATGACTACTGAAATTTGTTGGAGAAGCAAAAACTGAGCTGTTAACATTCAAATAAGCAGAATAGAGGCTAAAATGAGCGGGAAACAAAAACACTAGTTATCTGAAAAATAAGTAATTCAAATTTTTTATAAACTTACAAATAAGTGTGTTGAAGCCTCAGCATGAACAAGCCAAGATAAAACATCATCTGAACTATTTTGAGGTTGTTGTTTTTTCTGCATTCACTGCCAAGTGTCACTCAGGTTGAAGTGAAGGTTTACCAAAAAGTCATGTTAATGTGGAGTTACAGTGGACATCCATTTCTAGTTATACAGGTCCTTCTCAAAAAATTAGCATATTGTGATAAAGGTTATTATTTTCCATAATGTAATGATAAAAATGAAACTTTCATATATTTC